TGTGTGTGTGTGTGTGTGTGTGTGTGTGTGTGTGTGTGTGATTAAGGCCCAGGGATGCCAGCATGCCAATCGGTGGCCTGGTACCTGGAAAGCACCAGGGAGGATTTGCTAAGTTGAATTAAAATCCAGTGCACATAACTGCCAACTTAACAGCTACCACTGCTTGAAGGGTTAGTACGTGCCAAGCAAAAGGCAAGGTGCTTGACCTACGGTCACCTTAGCCTCGTAGAAGCCACCTGATCCAGTTAACCACCAAGGAAGGAAACGGAGACGCGAGAGGCTCAGGCACCTGTCTCAGGCTTTACGACCGGGAGGGGCACCAGCCCAGGTCTTCACTCCTTGCCACACTGCGTCCGTCTCTTGTGTCCTCCAGGACGTAGACTCGAGCCAAAGTGCCTAACTGCTGCCCAGGCTCTCGCCCCCTCCCCTGCCCCCCTTTGTCCTCACCTGCTCGGAAGAGTGCCCCAGCGGCGTAGTGCATGGCCAGGGCGTGGATGAGCTGTCTGCCCGTGGTGAAGATGGGCCCGCGCTCAAACACGGAGAAGGAGAGGGGCGTGTGGTCAGAGGCGATGTACAGCTTGAGGGAAGCGTGGATGCTGACCAGCAGGCTCACGGGCTCGATCACCAGCCTCCGTAACCTCACCGGGTTCACCAAGGCCTGGGCGTGCTGCCTGACTTGCAGGGGCAGCAGCTGTGTGTCCCCGGCGAGGGGCCCGGGGCGACCGGCCCGCTGGCTGTCAGTGTAAGGGAGGTAGGTGTCAAACAGAGTCTTGACGTAGTACACAAACGTATCTTCCACGTAGAGCCGGGCGGGCTTCAGTTCAAAACTGAACTCGTTCATCTCACACAAGCAGCTCTTGCCCTGCGACAAGGTGACACACAGTGTGATGAAACAGCTTCGCTTGTATTCTTCCACATCGGCGCGGGAGACCAGGAGGCTCTGCATTTTGGTGCATCCAGAGGGTTCTGTTTTCTCCCCCTGGCAGACCAGGACAGCGAAGTGGAAGTTGGACTTGTTATAAAGCTGGTTGTCCAGCTGCAAGTCCCCGCAGCAGACCTCCATGCAGTACGGCTGGAAGATGGCGGCCGGGGTCTCTTCCACAGGGAGGTGGCCCGCCACGGGGGCCAGATGGAGAAACACATGGTCAAGTGTGAGTCTCAGAAGTTCAGACGATGTGTGGGGGTGGGTGAGGTCATCCAACACCGCCAGGCTCAACTGCGTGACGAACATTTGAAATCTGACAGCCATCTCCAGCATGCTAGAGGAGAGAGGGAAAAGCAGGTATTAAGCACTTCCCGGTGAGACATCCGATTCTCCTCGGAAGGCACAAGTAAGGACTCGGCTCTCGGTACATCATCGTGTCTGGACAGAGCCAGCCCCCCTCCAAGCGTACTGGGAAATGCTCCCAGTGGGACCAAGACAAGGTCTTGGCATGTTTCTTTCTGTGTTTCCCATCTCAACACCAGACTTAGACTCCACACTCTGTCTAGTTTTGTGCACTGACTCTCCATCATGAGGAGGACAAGGCAGAAAGCGCTCATAAAAAAATGACACTGCTTCAGTTGAAAAAGTGGAGCAAGGAGAAAAATGTACTAGGAGCTCCCACCCCAAGCACCTAGCTGCCACAGCGGAAGAGCTGCCCGTGCCCCTGGGTCTGGGGAGCCCCTGTGTGGCCCACCAAGTCACTCTGCCCTTCTCAGCTCAGGGACATCATTTCAGCAGTCTCGCCCTGTGCACCCCTCCCCTTCCCGATCGTTTCCTGGGCCACAACCAGCCGTAATGAAGGCGATGTCCTCTCTCCTTTGTCAAAGAAACTCCTCCCACCACTCCAACTCTTCCTCTCGCTGTGCCTGGGCTGGCTGACCTCTCTGTGAAAAGCCCACAGCATTTTCTGTGCCAGTCTCGTCGATCATCCTCTCCTTCCAGGCTCTCTTAAGCTTTTTCCAAACAGGTGTGTGCCCAGTCTACAAAACTCTTGCCGACGCCATCAGCAACTGAGGCAGATGGCGGATTTTCAGGAGGGTCTGACATTGTCCATAAGCTTCTCCTCCATCTCGGGCACCCTTTCTTTATAGGGCTTCTACCTCTTAGATCCCGCATCCTCAGTCACCTGGGCTAACCCCTTCTCTTCTCAGTTCTCCTAGGATAAACTGCCTAACTTACTCGGCTTCCCTTTCCTTTCTCTGCTCACTCCCTCGGAAATCTCACCCAGTCTTAGGATGTGGAATTCTCCACTACCTGTTGATGCTTCCAACATTACATATCTAGCTAGAACTCCCTTAAACTCCAGACGTGCAGATCTATCTGCCTTTGCACACATACACTTAGCATACATGTCTGTAACCAAATGTTCATCTTACCCCTAAACCTACACGCAGTCTTTTCCCATCTCAGTGGATGGCACCACATCTTTCCAGCTGCCCAGACCAAAAATGTTGGGAGTCATTCTTGATGCCTCTATTTTCGACCCTATCCAACAAGCCCGGAAATCTCAATGATTTGAAAAACATCCAGAATTTCTTTAGCATTTCCATGGATACCACTGCATCTCAAGTCTGAATAGCCATATTCACCTCCTAACTAATCTCCTTACTTCGGTTGTCCTGCCGTCTAACTCGGCAGGACAGCCAGATCATACACCACTTCTGCTCAAGAGGATATGACAGGAATTTTATTCTACTTTTTATGATGATAAAATGTGTTGTAGAAAAAGAAAATACTGAGATTAATTACTTCAAATCCCACATCTGTTAACTGTTTTGGTGTTTCTGTTCCTCTCGGTCTTTTTTCTAGGAATGCTTTCGTTATGTGTGTGAAAACATGTATGTGTACACGTGTGAGCATACATACATGACATGGATAGGATCGCACCTGTATGTTTAACTTCGTATTTTGATTACATGCTTTAGGATTATATCAGATATTTTTCCATTCATTGAAATTATGTAAGATCTTTTGTTTAAAAGAATTCCCATTTAGTTTTCCATTCCCTTACTGATGGGCATTTGTTTTCTGAGTAACAAGCTATGGTAACGAACGGGACAACCATCTCTTTGCATTTCTCTATCTATTATAGTAGTTATTTTTTAGCATCTATTTTTGAGAGTGGAATTGCAAGGACAATGAGATTTCAGCTCCTACGACACATCAACACAGGGATTCCCAGACTACAGTATCAAAATATACATCCACCAGGACTGCTTAAGATGAAGCAACCTTGCTAATTTAGTACGTAAATTATATTTTCTTTCCACTTATATTTCTTTGCTTACTTGTATTCTCGCTTTCTAGAATATTCAGGTTCTGCCTCTTGCCTCATTTCCTTTTTGGAGGACGAGGATATTCTTCCTATTAAATGGTACGAGTGCTTTTAAATTAAGGATGTAAACTCCTCATTTGCATATGTTTAGAAAGCCTGATGGCAACACTCAGGTCAAGAGGGGAAAATGTGATTCTAAGAAGTGAAGAAGGGCGCAATTACTAATTAGCATTTGGGAGAAGAGAAGCCAGCCCGCTCCTTGGGAGAATGGTGCGGCCTCTTCCCACGTATGTCACACGTGTCATCAGGGGGGCTCGTCCCTGGAGGAGGGCTCCATGCTTGCGACGGAGAGGGTCGGCGAGAAGGGGCAGCGTGAGGACGCTGCAGGGTCCGGTGGGGTTGCACACAGGCTTGCTATGCGTCAGAACCAACGCAGGGACACCTGCCAACAGTCTAAGCTCTTGTTGGATACAGAAATAGGAGCTTGCATTTTGTGCTTACGATAACAGCATCATGTTTTCATGACATTGGCCTCAGTTGACAAGTCGGCTTGTGGAGCTTCTCGCAGACAAGGGCTGGGAGATGCCGCATGACTAGATTTATGCTAATAACTCTATTTCTACTTATGGAGTATGCAGTAATGAGCTCAGAACTCTAATGTATCATGTATCCCAAGGCTGCCTGGTTGGTTCCAACTCATAGTGACCCTACAACTGCCCCTTTCCAGGCTGTACTTTTCTAGTTAGTCGACGGACACATCTTTCTCTCTCAAACTTTCAGCTAACAGCTGAGTGCTTTAATCATTGCCCCACCAAGGCTTCTTTTTGTGTGTGTGTGTGTGTGTGTGTAACAGAGCATTAAATAGTGGCTAAATAAATGAATGAAAACTTTTAACAGGAAAGTTTACTATCCTGGACCTGAGCAAAGAGAAACTTACCTGTTGGGCTTAGTTACCAGAGGCCCGGCTTTTTCTTCTGGGGCCAGAGTGATGAAGACGGTGCCGCCCTGATGGACAAGGTCCACGTACACATAGCCAAAGCCAGTTAGGAACAAAACCTGCAAAAAGAACATGAGAGGACTCAGAAACACTCCTGGAGTGGGGACTTCCGACGCCTGACGTTCTCGGATGCAGTATCAGAAATACTTCCTGCTTACAGCTTTCCATGGATAGGTGTGCAGGCTCTTCAGTTAACTGGCAGTGGAAAAACAAACCAACACTACAGTGTGAAAAAAACCACACCCAACTGTGAGGCTCACAGGAAAAAAAAAAAAGACAGCGAGGAATGGTGGGACACGAGTGTCTTTATCCTCTGCTGTCAGCAACTTGCAAATGACTATCTGGCCTGGAGCCTAGCCGTGAATGACCTTTATGAATGTGTATGAATCTGCGTGTGTGTATGTGTGGAGTGGGGGGAGGGGAGCAAGCCTAAAACTTAGAACTTGAAATGCTAAGAGAAGCCCATTTCAGGCTCCTGAGAGGTGACTTCCTCCCACTGGGTGTCTCCTTCCAGCCAGAGATACCACATACTTACCTAAAACCATACCAGCAGAAATGTCATTAAGAGTCAGCAGACAGATCTGGGACTGTTTATTCACAGGCTACTTTTTTGTTTTCTTTTTCTTCTTTTCATGTCTATCTATATAAGATAGGCAGGATAAACAATCCCAAGGAGAAAACAATGGGGCTGACGGTTTGGGAAAGATATGGGAGGAGGAGGTGGGGGAAAGGGAGTGGGGAACCAACAAACCCAGGGGCAAGGGAACAACAAGAGATCTAAAACCGATGGTCAGAAGGCGTAGATGCCTGGTGGGGTTCGGTCAAGTGCAATGTAACTGAGAGGAAGTACAGAGAGCCGAATGAAGGTCAAACATGATAGTGGGACAGGAGGAAAGTAGAATGAAATAGAAAGAACTAGGAAGCAAAGATATTTATAGAGGTCTAAATATAGGCATGTATATATGCAAATATACTG